ACCGAACGCCACCGCCTATTGTGTAACAATCTATGAGGATAATCTACATAATATTTATTTATCACTTCGTCATTCAAATATGGCTGATCGCAAATATTTGTTTCTTTCGTTGCACGACTCGAACGTTCCTAAACTCCTTACTCCCCATCTTCGAAACGTGTTATTTCTGTACAAGTTGCTTTTTTATTGTAAATTAATCCCAAAGATTTTTTTTTTTTTTTTTTTTTGATGTCACGAAATACAAGATGAATTTTCTTACGGCATTTACGTAATGTACATTGAGCAACAAATGTTTCCGATTTTTCTCTCGATTTTCCTTTCGATTTCAAATTCTCACGATCAAAAGCGATCAGTACTTGTAAATATTGATGCTCCTTTCTTTAATACTGAATGGAATAACGGCGAACAATTTATTTAATTATTGAATTTAAAAGAAGATACTCCTGGAGCACTTAAAGTCCAGATAAACCGTCAATAGAATGCACTGAAGAATAGCATTCGTTCTAAATTCTCCATCGTTTTATTCTATACTAAAAAATTACAAAATTACATCCCTATGTTTCGATTCATATTGATCCATTTTAATATCCAAAATTACATCAAATAACAAACAATTTATTTACTTCAAAAAGAAAATATTTTAGGAGCGCAATATCTTTTCGAAGTCCAGAAAAAAACGTCACTAGCTTAGAATAATTCTCTAAATTATTCCATAATTATTATTAGAAAATTATCATCATTATAACGATTAAAAAATTAATATTCGCAAATATAACCATATATTTCGACTCATTTTGATTTTAATTGATCAAAATTATCCAACAAGTCGTTCCATAATCTTAAAATTAAAATTAATATACTTTCCAAGACACTATACTTTCTAACATTTATGACAAATTGTAAGATTTAGCTTCAAGTCGCTAATAACCCGCGCAAGTGATTGTAGACGCGACTAAAAACGAATAAAATGAAAACTGAAGAAATTTAGAAAAAAGAAAAAAAAAAAAAAAAGAAGAAATTTGATTATTCCCCCATTGAAAAAAAAAAAAAAAAAAAAAAAAACTGTCCCCGTTTTAGGAACACTCGTCTCGTGAAATTCACAGCTTCTCGAAATCCGGAGAAAACAGAATCTTGGAGAAATGTTCTGCACGACCTTGGGCGACGATACGTTTCGGTGAAATAGGTTATATATACATTTCGCCGGTGTAAAACGGCATAACATCGGCCGCATGCCGGTGAACAGGTACGTCGTTGCCCAATGGACCGGCGAACGTGAGCTAAAAGAAAGCCGCTTTCTTACGTAAGCCCGACATGCTCGACTCTTTCTAAACGATCCTGGACTAAACGAAGTCTGTCACGGCGTACACACAAGCCATCCAAGGCTTCTAGCCTCTTCTGCCGTTCATTTTTAACGCTAGAACTCTACCGATGATTGAAACATAAAATTTCCATCAGAGACATCAAAGTGAAAAAAAATTAAGAAAACTTTATAATAATAAAGAAATACTTTATAATAATTAAAACTTTATAATAATAAAGAAAACTTTATAATGATAAAGAAATACTTTATAATATTTCTATTATTTTCTATTTATAATATTTTTATTATAGAGAAATACTTTATAATAAAGAAAACTTTGTAATGATAAAGAAATACTTTATAATATTTTCATGATTTTCTATTTATAATATTTCCATTATAGAGAAATACGTTATAATAATTAAAACTTTGTAATAATAAAGAAAACTTTATAATGATAAAGAAATACTTTATAATATTTCTATTATTTTCTATTTATAATATTTCTATTATAGAGAAATACTTTATAATAACAAAGAAAACTTTATAATGATAAAAAAGTACTTTATAATATTTCTATTATTTTCTATTTGTAATATTTCCATTATAAAGAAATACTTTGTAATAATTAAAACTTTATAATAATAAAGAAATACTTTATAATATTTCTATTTTCTATTTATAATATTTCTATTATAAAGAAATACTTTGTAATAATTAAAATTTTATAATAATAAAGAAAACTTTATAATGATAAAGAAATACTTTATAATATTTCTGTTATTTTCTATTTATAATATTTCTGTTATAGAGAAATACTTTATAATAATTAAAACTTTATAATAATACAATTTATACAAGCTTTCATTTACATACTTTGCCAAAAATTATTTAAATCTTTAAAAATACAACGTTATTACGTCTATAAAATATCTAGAATAGATATTATAAATTGGTCATTTTGACCACTTTGGTAGTACCTAGTGTTAAATCGTCACTTCTGCAACGCATTTTCTTTTTTCTTTTTTCTTCTTTTCGCTCGACGTACTCGACAAAGACTCGAGTTTTTTCGTCACTAAAGGGAAACTAGAGTTTCGCCAATTTTATCTGGAGAAATTCGCTCGATAGAGGGAGGAATTTCGAAAGAGGAGTGGAACGAGTTGAGACAAAGTGTCGGGCGAATGGTGATTGGAGGATTTGAAGATAGCTTGTCTTTGCAGCGCTTGTGTAACGCTCGTGAAAGAAAAAAAAGGAATGAGTTGCGAAACGCACGCGGCGATTCGAACGAAGGCGATTCGCCTCGACTTTTCTTGGAAAAATCGTGAATTCGAAAGAGGTGTCGAAAGTGGAATGTGTAGACGCGTGCACGTGGCCCCGATGTTTTAGGATAACTTGTTTTTCTTGATCCGTTGAAGCGTGTTCGAAGCGCACGTAAACGACGCGCGTTTCGAAAAATTCGAAAGATACACGTTAGAACTTAACGTGTCGAACGTTTACCTATCGTGCTCGACGCAGTATATTCATCCTCTCCTCCCATTTGCCGTGTCATTTCGTAAGCCGTGGAATTATGAAACCGGCGATTATTGTAATTTGTTGGAGAATAATATCGGATTTTCCTGGAAGAACTCGAGTGAAATTCCGAGACAGAATGAGACGAGCGTAATTCGGCGAACGATTAATTCAGCACGCGAGTACCATGATTCAGACGTGATTCATTTGAAGACGAGCTAATCGCGAGAGAGTTGATTTCCCTATGCTTGAAGTTTTCTCTTTATAGATTATCCAAACGATTATCCCTGTCGAGAGATCAATCTCGCAGGATGATTACTCTTGACTTTTTCATTTGTGACTTGACCGTGAGACACTCGGTCTGTGAATCGACCCTGCCTTATCCCCGTGACTCGATTACAAATCGATTTGTAGCTTTTTTACGCAACTTTCGATCATCGTGACTCTCCTTCTGATTCAAATGTCTCAATCGTTGCGTCATCGTTCGACGTCTCGAACGACATGGATCTTTCATAAATCGAAATCGAATTTGGATGGAATTCGAAACTGAGCAAGAAGAAGTATCTTTTTATGTAAAACTGGAGAAAACTCGCTACATATATGCCGAAAATTGGCATAAACCTGCTCCCAGGGCTCGCACATTTTTGGAGCAACAGGGAAACCTTGTACGATGAATATATGCACTTCTTTAATTCACATTGATAAAATATTCTTAAATATTACTATATATTTTTTATAGTAATATTAAAATTTATAGTAATATTAATATTGAAATATTACTATATATTTTTTATAGTAATATTAAAATTTATAGTAATATTAATATTAAAATATTACTATATATATTTTGTAGTAATATTAAAATATTACTATATATTTTTTATAGTAATATTTAAGAATCTATTTATTATGTATTTTAGATTTCAACTATTATTTATTTTATATTTTATATTAACACATTGAGGACGGTGATGCTCTGTTAAACATGTAGTCTGTATTTTCTCGTACTTTTTGAATTATTTAATATGTGATTGAAAGAATTCAAAAGGATGTATAGCATTTAACGGGTGTATTGTTTTAGTAATAGTTAAAATTATTAATTATTTTTCATTTTAGAGGTATTTCATTAAATAAAATGAAAATACCAGTTTAGCAACGTTTCCTGGCGTGGTATGTTAGGAAACAATTTCCCTACTTCTTGCAAAATTATATAACATTACAATATATAATTGTATATTGTATATGATATTATATAATATAAATTATACATAACGCTGCCTGGTCCCCTACAAAATAGCGTTCCCCGTCTGCAACGTTGAAAAACGAAAGACGAGAATTCTCGTCTCTCGTCCACAATGTGTTAGTAAAGAGATGTGGAAAAATTTGCATGAAAGCAACGATGAATAACCAGAACCTTGGACTCTCGTATGCTTCTTTGCCCGGAAGTCAGGGTACACGGGCGCGCGTCATCGCATAAAACTAACAATTCATCTGTTCTGGTTAATTAATACAGTTTATCAGTCACCAATGCTGCGATTGGCGCGCTATTGCTTTCGAAACGCACCTGAATGTTACTGGATAATCAAATTTAAATTGAACCCTTTGAATATTTCCAGACAAACTTCTGGAAATATTATGGAATCCGATCGAGATTTCACATTCTAAACTGAAGTGTCGTAAGTGTATAATTAACAATTGTTTCTTTCTCGTGGAAAATTGAAAGCACTCGTGGAATTGGAGGGCCTTCAGCAAGCCAAGTGTAACAATAATGAAAATTGGTATTTTAATCGACGCGGGGCGAAAGATGCACATTTGTCATTCTACTACGCTCTGATTCTACTCTACTCTCTCTGCTAAATCTTGCAACCCATGTTGAGTGGTTGAGCTATCACCCTGTCATAAGTCATGCTTGGATTTTTTTTTTCTCCTTCGCACTTGTATTCTAGTTATCGGTACCAAGAAACTTTGAGACTAACGAGACTTATTAATTACTAATTTTTAAATCACTCATTTAGAAATTTATTGTCATCAAACATTATATATTATTATATATTATACATTATATATTTTATTGTATTATATTATATTATATTATATATTATTATATTGAAATCTACAGACAAGAATCACAATGTATGTACGATTTTCTGAAAAAAAAAAAATAAATAAATTTCGTCTTTCTGTATTCCAGTGACGCGACAGCGAGAGGTGACGGTGGCCTAATGAACATGAACAACGTGCAGAACAACACAGACGCCACTTCGGACATGACAGCAATGCCAAATCCACCGCCGCTGGTCAATCCGGGGCTGAACAACGCCACGTGGAACCGGCAGCAGGCGGTCAGCGTCAGAAACGCCTTCAAAAGTTACGGAAGCAGCAAGAATCCGAACCACATTCTTCAAAATCTCAGCATGACCGTACCGAAAGGATCCATGTAAGTGATACATTTGGAAATACTTGAATTACCTGTGTTACTTTTCGAAATGCTAGGTGAAAATGAATCGTTTGATTATATTTGGTTATTGATATTATTTTATATAGATATAAAGCAGCGTATTGTTTTGGAGACTCGAGTGACTCTTCGAGTAAAATATACAAATAAAAGCTTACGTATTATGAAGATTCTCTGTTTCTTTTATTATATTATTAACGTCTCTGATGGAAATTTTATGCTTCAGTCGTCGGTGGTTCTAGCGTTGAAAAAACATTTAAAAAATTCTCTCCCTCAGTTGTTACATTTTATAACTGTGGCGTGATTATAATAATGTAATGCAAATAATACAGTGATTATGATACAGATAATACAAATAATTATCATAGTATAAATATATATAAAATAAATACAACAATACAATAAAATATATAAAATAATACAAATAATTGTCATAGTATAAATATATATATAAAATAAATGTAATAAAATAATAATATATATAAAATAATACAAATAATTATCATAGCATAAATATATATATATATAAAATAAATACAATAAAATAATAAAATATATAAAATAATACAAATAATTGTCATAGTATAAATATATATAAAATAAATACAATAATAATATAATAATAATAAATAAATATAATAATAATAAAAATAATAAAAATACAATAATAAAAATACAATAATATAATAAAATATATAAAATAATACGAATAATTATCATAGTACAATTATTTTACAATGACTTCTTGGATCCGATCTTTTCACAGGTTCAAACTCGAGCTCGGTTCGAATTCTCTCGGTGAAAGCGATCAGAACGCCACAAATAAATAGAATTGATGGATATCAGAGAAAAACACTCTTAAACGTTAGACGTGCGATATGATACTGAATCGAGGTATATACTCGATTGCATTGATCGTTAGAACCGTAACGAAATTGGTGCAATCTCGGTTGACGTGAAATTTCTTATAATTTATGAAAGAAAAAAAAAAAAAGGATCGATCATGCTATTTCGCAAGACAGGTGTACTAAATACCAATCTCATAGGTACTTTAAAATGTATAATAATTGTATTAAGAATCGCGTGATAGGATTTACAAAAGCAAGATTGCTTCCAATTGATCACGGCGAAATCGACGCAACTTTAAATGATGCTTTTATAAATGTCACAAATTAAAAAATCGTTTAGACCATTCCGCGAGGCACGTGTTTTAATACGTGTGTTAATAATTATTCGTAATCGTTAAAATTGACAGAAACAAAATTGGTTTCTAATATCGATCGTGATGAAATCGGTGTAACCTCGAACGACATAAAATTTTTTTTATTACAGTCTACGAACGTTACGAGCTAAAAAGTCCATTACACTGTCGCATATGTAAAGCTCAGCAAACTATTAAAAATAAGCTAGTAGAATAAGCTAGTAGAATATTATTCGTTGCAGATTATTCTTTCTATCTGTTCGACACGCGTGGCAAAAATCTACGAAAAGAAAAGATCGATTCTAGCAGCGATTGAGCATCGATCACGATGAAATCAGGGCTACTTCGAGCGATATAACATTTTTTACTGTAATCTTTGTAAATCTACACAAAACAGAAGTCGTTAAAACGTTGTTACGTTATACCGTGATGAAAGTGCGCATACGCAGCATCGTAGCGCTATTGATTATTGATTATCACGCGACAAGATTAGTTTGCAAATGAAATGTTTGGTTAGAGAAGATTAAAGGATACAAAGGATCTTGACTGGAGGGAGAGCCTCGAACGAAAGTCAGTTTCTTCTTAAGAAAGCACCGGCTAGAAGATGATCAACAGAACGTGACCGATCTCTCGTCGATCGTTGAACGTTAAGTCGAGCCCGAAATGCCCGTTCTCCTCGCCGCAGAATCACGGCTGTGGTTCCGCTCCAGCAGAGGGAATACCACTTGCACGCGGAAATTTCTAGCCGAGTTCAAAGTTTCCGGGATAAAACAAATTCGCGAAACACCGTTATTCATCGTTGTGTAATTTCATTATGCACGCCAGGCCGCGCTATTACGAATATCGGCTTTTATGCCAAGGGAGCACGTAACTCGCGGCCGGATTACATGCACACATATGTACATACGAGCAGAAGAAATCGTCGATCCTACGTTTAGATAGAGCGCTCTACACACTCGCGGACCCTCCAATGATACTATCCTGCCCGCAGGAAGTCGGCTTATTTGCGAAACAGATAAGCATACGCTTTTACGATGATTCCGTGGAAAGAGAATTTTCGAGAGGTTGTTGAGTTGGCCGAAGTCAGGCACAGAAAGGAGTGAACATTCGAGAAAATTAGTAAAAATTTTCAGAAAGAATTTTCAGTAGAATTCTCATTTAGAGTAATAATGGCGAACGTTGGATTTTTAATAATAATTATTTTTAATAATAAAATTATATATTAATATATATATAATATTATATTTAATAATATAATAATATATAATGGTATATTTAATAATGTAATTGTGTATTAATATATAATAATATACAATACAATACATATACATTTTAGTAAAAATACAAAAGAATTTTCAGTAGAATTCTCATTTGGAGTAATAATAGCAAACGTTGGATTTTTAATAATAATTATTTTTAATAATAAAATTATATATTAATATATAATATTATATTTAATAATATAATAATATATAATGATATATTAATATAATAATATATAATGGTATATTTAATAATATAATTGTGTATTAATATATAATAACATACAATACAATACATATACATTTTAGCAAAAATACAAAAGAATTTTCAGTAGAATTCTCATTTGTAGTAACAATAGCAAATGTTGGATTTTTAATAATATAATTATATATTAATATATAATAATATTACATTTATTAATATAATTATTTTTAACAATAATTAATAATAATTATTTCTATATTTACCATCATATCTGCACTTTTTGAAAAGAAATATATTTACATCAATTTTCCATCAATCTCGTTCCATTGTTTTTACTGATTTCTATCTGAAGATTCAAAGAATTAATGAAAACATTTGTTCGCACAATTTTCCCAATTCCTTGTTTGGAAGTAGCAATCGGAAAGTTAAGTTGTGTGTTTATCATAAAATTTTGCAGAAAAACTTCCCTCATTTCTATTAATATTTGTCTGATTCTCTCGAAAACGAAGTGTATCTTGTATCAATTTTCCATTCCGTCGTAACATATTTTTATCCTTCGTCTCCGATTCTCAGTTATGGACTACTCGGCGCCAGCGGATGTGGTAAGACCACCCTACTCTCTTGCATCGTTGGCCGAAGGAAATTGAATTCTGGAGAGATCTGGGTTCTCGGTGGTAAGCCAGGCACCAAAGGATCTGGTGTTCCTGGGAGGAGAGTTGGCTACATGCCACAGGAGATCGCCTTGTACGGAGAGTTTAGCATTCGAGAAACGATGATGTACTTTGGCTGGATATTCGGCATGTGCACCGAAGAAATCCAGGAAAGACTTCGGTTTCTATTGCAATTCTTGGATCTGCCCACCCAGAATCGATTGGTGAAGAATCTTAGGTAAGCGAAGTTCAGTCTTCGAATTGATTTTTTTTCACTGTCTTACTGCAAATCTCGAAATGAAACTTGAATTGTTCATTTGAAAACTCTAACGACTTTACGAGCGTTAAAGTTAAACGCACGAAAAGTTTAAATTAATCGTTTTTAAATATCTTTTAGCCAGAAATGATCGCCATAGTCTGTCTATTAGTTGGGAAGAATTTTTTCTACATATCTTATCTACAGTTTCGTAACTATAAACGAGCTGAAAATGATGGATTTTATCCTTCGTTCCACTCTTTCTTTTCTTTCGAAAAGAAGTATACCGAAATATGTATAATTTTCAATTTACATTATACACGCGATCTTTGTTTCTCCAACTGGTTTTCCAATACTGACCACCGGGTGACGATACAATTTCATACACACCGAATAAGTTGATTCAGGTTCTGACCACCGGGTGACGATACAATTTCATACACACCGAATAAGTTGATTCAGGTTCTTTCATTTTTCTTCGGGTTTCCAGCCGAGCAGTTTACGAAATCGTCGAACTTTCCATTTGCTGACGAATTCTTTTCTGATTGCAGCGGTGGCCAGCAGCGACGAGTGTCCTTCGCGGTTGCTCTGATGCACGATCCGGAGCTCTTGATTCTCGACGAGCCAACAGTGGGTGTGGATCCTCTCTTGCGGCAAAGGTGAGTCGCTTATCTTCACTAATTTTTGCCATTGGGACTGTCTTCGTTCGTCCCCCACTCTTCCTTTCGATGCCAATTCGCAGAGTGCACTACTTCTCTTAATCCCTTGCGCTGGCAACTGATTGCGGACCATAACGAGTGACCGAACCGTATACGATAATTCGTCGCTTTCTTTTTCTTTTGAACTCTTTCGTCTAATATCACCGGAAAAGTAATAAACTTATCATTTGTTTTGCCTAGGTTACATTTAAATATACCTGAAACTGAGAAAATGTTGCAATTTGGGACAAAAAAAAAGTACTCGACGTGCGTGGCACGTTATTACAACGCAAGAGGTTAACCACTTGCGCTGGCAACTGATTGCGGACCATAACGAGTGACCGTATGCAATAATTCGTCGCTTTCTTTTTCTTTTGAACTCTTCCGTACAATATCGCTGGATAGAAATTATTAAAAAGTAATAAACTTATCATTTGTTTTGCCTGGGTTACTTTTAAATATACTTGAAACTGAGAAAATGTTGCAATTTGGGACAAAAAAAATACTCGACGTGCGTGGCACGTTATTACAACGCAAAAGATTAACCACTTGCACTGGCAACTGATTGCGGACCATAACGAGTGACCAAACCGTATACAACAGTTCGTCGCTTTCTTTTTTTTTTTTAACTCTTCCGTACATCACTGAATAGAAATTATTAAAAAGTAACAAACTTATCATTTGTTTTGCCTGGGTTACACTTAAATATACTTGAAACTGAGAAAATGTTGCAATTTAGGACAAAAAAAATACTCGACGTGCGTGGCACGTTATTACAACGCAAGAGGTTAATCCTTTGCACTTCAAATTATTTTCAATTATTTTTTCTTTTCTTTTTGGCAATTTAAAAATATCGAGTGTGACTCAACATAATTGTCCAGTTTCGTCCCAACTGTGGACGCTTATAAAAGCACTCCTGTATACCGAAATCGATCGAGGAGCCGATTGCTTCGGGTGTATTCGCTGTTCTGTTCTTTCACAATTCAATCGATCAATATTCAATCCTGTTGGCGACATGCTCGATATGCCTGTCACTGATCTTTACTAAAGACGAGTATAATTAGGAGAACCATAAAACATTTGAAAATATCCTCAGAGACCCGAATCTAGCAGCGATTTAATCTTCGTTTTTTCAAATCTTGAAAACAACTATTTACTAGTCCCTTCTTTCGTAATCGTCAGATTGCAAATTCATATTTTGATCGACACGACTAAATAATTCGTGTATTGTACAATTGTTAACTAAGACCACTTGGATGGATTTATGAACATATATTTGTATATTGTGTGCGAAATCTCGTTAACTGATGCGTGAAATTTCTCGCAAATGCCTACGAGTCTATTAACCATCGTCAAATTGACAATTTTAGTCAAATTATCGGAAGCTAACAAGACACTGTCACAAAAAATATTCCAGCAAAACCAGTTTTGGACATTCTGAGAATCGAAGTCGCACGGTTAAAGACCCTCGAAGGCCAAAAATGACAGCAAAGATCGTAGAAAAAACGACGATTTCATTCTCAAGCAGTTAGGATAATGAGAATAAATGGGGCGTAACATTTTTAAACTTTTAAGTGAAAGTACCATTTGCTTGTACCATTCGAACTTATGGTGAGAGAAAAATTCGTAATAAAGGTGACTGAAAGGTGGCTGACTTTTGCATCTAATAACTCTTTGTTTTCACTTGCCAGATGGAAAACGTGAACGCGATTCCTCTAATTTCCACGCTAATTTCCTTAAATATGTGTTCTCGTAGAAAATTATACTTGTCCAGCTGAACGAAAATTACCATTAACGTGGAGTAATTTTCAAGCAATTTTGTCGAATTTTCCTCGATGGATTGCATCAACCTAGATGTTTCTCTTTTGTATCATTTTTCTATTTTTTTGAAAATAATTTTCTATTTATTCGAAAATTTTCTGTTTATTTTTATTTTAAAATTTTTTGTTCAAATTTAATGTGATTGATTGAATAAAATTTTTATATTAAAAAAGTAATGTAATCAAATTTCGAGAAGGGAAAACGTCGCAAAATAAAATCATCTTACAATCGCTTCTCTGGAAGAATGATAATTGAATTAAAGATCAATTTACATTAATTTACATTTATATCACTGAAATTTGTGAAAATCTTTCGAATATATTCTAATTTGTAGGCTTTTAAAATGATTATTTCGACTAATAATTCGCGTTTAAGTGATCCTTATGTATCATTTCGTTTTTTACTGAATTAAACCTTAATGAGAATTAACTTTAATGTAATAAAAATTCACGATATTACACGGTCTACCAAGAAACCTCAACTCGAGCAATAAACGATCAGAAAGGGACATTAGAGAGCAGAGGAACGATCTCATCGAGGGAAACGAATTTCATTCACATAATGGACACAGACCGCTTTTCAATTAGCATCGTCAAGAATATGAAGAAATATGCTAGCTACATTTTATTATCGACCACCGCTCACACTAACATCAACGCATGTACGTAGGTGAAACGATATTGCATGATCTCTGCTCGAAGAGAAAAAACTAGAAAAATTCACCGTGTATACGATAAATTTCGCTTTTAATTTCACACTTTGAAATTCGCTCAAGATTATCTAGACACGTGCTGACTTTCGTAAGACGCGTTTTAATTGAAACGATTTCATTTCGTATAATTATCAGAACAAATAGACAAACTGAAACATGGAGAACGTTGTCTCAATCCATTATACTTCGAAGTCCTTCGCGTGACGTGGCTCGGGGAAATTTCGCAAGTTACGTACACGTGTACAAGTATAACGAACCTAACGACGTTGGCAATGGATTGGTAAAATAGAAAATTGCACCGTAATTGGCTGCTTTCCTGAAAATTGCGGTGATAAAAATTAGACGGAGGTTTTTCTTCCATAACGGCATTTGGGAATTTCCATAACGAACGCTATTATACTTTAGATAGGAGAATATGAATAAAGGTAGAAATTTTAAATTTTTCTGAAAAAACTCTAAATCTTATTCTCATCAAGTGAAATTTCACTTTTCGCATAATGATATCATATGAAATTGAATATTAAAATTATAAATCTATTATGAATAATTAATAGATTTATACAATTAATAAAATTCAGAATTACGTAAAGTAAAAGATATGACATTATATATAAAGTAATTTTTTTTATATAAATTTATATAAAAAGTAATTTTTTTGTCCTTCTTAATCCTTTTTTTTAATGATAAATGATAGTTTCATAAAACAGATATATATTTTATGTTTGCAGTAATTTAAAACTCCCCAAATTTTTATACACGATAATGTATTTTAAATACATAATCGATATTATCATCCGAATTGATAGGCGATTTTTAATTGCATTTTGAGATATTTCAAAGTTTCGACGTTTCCATAGAAATGTCCCTTTCTCATTTGATTTGCTGTTCAAAATAATTACTCCAGACATTGATAATTTATTGATAAAGATAGATTCCAGAAATGTAATAAAAGGAAAATTTCTTTAACATACGATGAAAGAGGATTTCCTTAGAAAAATTAACCTTATGATTCGTCGTTCTTCTACCTTCTGTACAAATTTTTCTTGCAAATCAAAAGTGCTCAAGTTCCTCATAAATCTCCAGTACGTACACATACATTCAAATTAGCCAGTCTGTTTAAAGAAAAGTACCTTTGTGGCAGCTGTACCGTTAATCAGATCTTCCAGATAGTTTCAACCAGCTTGCCTATTGTTCCATCAGTGGAAAGGCAAACCACGAGAAAGAGGGAGGGCTAATTAGCCGCGAGAAAGTTTATGGAGCCATTTCCTTGGATCGGCAGGAATACCTGTACGATGGCATTTATCTCTGTGTGTAATGAGGGAGAGGAGAATCCTCTCTTCCGCGTTTTCTCGTAGCAATGTAGCTTGACTAATCGACGAATCAGTTCTCTTCGTTCCTTCCTAAAACGTATAATGAATGTATAATATATAATGAAACGCATACGAGGGCCGATACATCGATCGAAATTGCCGATATTTTGAATCCAAGGGACAGAGACGTCACATTTACGATGCAGAGGTAATTTTGGCTAATTTTATTTTATCTTATTATTTCGTTCCAAAATTGCAATATTTTCTCAGCTTAAAGTGTATTTAAATAAAACAAAATCGGCGAAGCAAATAATAAATTTATTACTTCTCGATAATTTCTATTTCCAGTGATATCATACCGACGAGTTCAAAAAGAAACCGACGAATTATTGTGTATCGGTTCGGTCACTCGTTATGGTCCGCAATTAGTTGCCAACGCAAGCGGTTAAACCTCTTGCGCTGGAATGACGTGCCACGCACGTCAACAATTTTTTGTCCCAAAATTGCAATATTTTCTCAGCTTAAAGTGCATTTAAATAAAACAAAATCGGCGAAGCAAATAATAAATTTATTACTTCTCGATAATTTCTATTTCCAGTGATATCATACCGACGAGTTCAAAAAGAAACCGACGAATTATTGTGTATCGGTTCGGTCACTCGTTATGGTCCGCAATTAGTTGCCAACGCAAGCGGTTAAACCTCTTGCGCTGGAATGACGTGCCACGCACGTCAACAATTTTTTGTCCCAAAATTGCAATATTTTCTCAGCTTAAAGTGCATTTAAATAAAACAAAATCGGCGAAGCAAATAATAAATTTATTACTTCTCGATAATTTCTATTTCCAGTGATATCATACCGACGAGTTCAAAAAGAAAGCGACGAATTATTGTGTATCGGTTCGGTCACTCGTTATGGTCCGCAATCAGTTGCCAACGCAAACGGTTAAACCTCTTGCGCTGGAATGACGTGCCACGCACGTCAACAATTTTTCGTCCCAAAATTGCAATATTTTCTCAGCTTAAAGTGCATTTAAATAAAACAAAATCGGCGAAGCAAATAACAAATTTATTACTTCTCAGTAATTTCTATTTCCAGTGATATCATACCGACGAGTTTTCAAAATGAAAGCGACGAATTATTGTGTATCGGTTCGGTCACTCGTTATGGTCCGCAATTAGTTGCCAACGCAAACGGTTAAACCTCTTGCGCTGGAATGACGTGCCACGCACGTCGACAATTTTTTGTCCCAAAATTGCAATATTTTCTCAGCTTAAAGTGCATTTAAATAAAACAAAATCGGCGAAGCAAATAACAAATTTATTACTTCTCAGTAATTTCTATTTCCAGTGATATCATACCGACGAGTTTTCAAAATGAAAGCGACGAATTATTGTGTATCGGTTCGGTCACTCGTTATGGTCCGCAATCAGTTGCCAACGCAAACGGTTAAACGAGATATAAGTTCTCGAGTTTCGTTAGTTCTCAAAGTAACACGAATGTATGTCGCTAGCATAATTTTCGAAATAACACTTTGCGAGTCAGTATAGGTAAACCATATCAACCTCGTCCGAACCTTCAGAATCGATAAGGGTTCCAAACATGCACCCCCGAAAATTTCCATTTTTTCCCTCGCTCTGCCGATCAACCGCGAATGGTACATTTATAGTGGATTATAATAAGATTATAATCGTAATGGATTATATTAAGTAACAGTGGTAACGAAGGTGACGATGAGGTGAGCTTTGAGAAAAAAAAAGGTGTAGCTAGAGATAGAAATGTTTTCTTTCAAACAGCGGAAACTAACACAACGTCAAGTGCTAAAGCGTATTAACTTTGAACTTTAGAATTCAAATGATTGAAAAGGACGTTCACTTTAAACATAGAAGAGCCATCGGCAAGAGAGGTTTCTTTGTATTTGAGTACGCCAGCATGAAGCATACCATGTAATTTCGAGCAAACTTCAAAGTAACGCCCCTCAGCCATCCTGCATGATGAAAATCACACGACGATCCACTTCGATTTCATTTTAAGCAAGGAAACCTTTATTCTCGAAAATTGTACAACATCAGACATCTTTAAAAACATTGGAAGAATTTCTTCGCGACAAAATCTACCACGGTCTTGAAGATACGAATTTTCTTTGTACAGGAGTATCTTAAAAATTGCTGAACCGATCCCTTTTCGTCATTTTACTTGCACTTCAAACATTGAGATTAAACGACGATTAAGAGATTCAAATAATGTTAAGAGATTCAAATATTACACATATACAGATACAAATTTTTGTCTAATATTCAAAGTTTAATAAAATGACGAAAAGAAAAGACAGGTTTCAAGAGATCGTTTTGAAAGAGAGACTTCAATTTTCAAGACTGATTTAGTCGTGAAAAGAATTTTTTCAGTGATTTTAAAGACGTATGAACTTTTATATATATAATTTTCGAAAATGAAAGTAACATATAAAAACTTGTAATTTGTTTGTAAAAAAAAAAAAACGAACTCAAAATTGTCAAAGTAGAGTGTCTTTACGTTTTAAAATGAAACCAAGTTATTATGATTTTTTTTTTCTTTTCTCGCAAAGTTTTGAACAACATTTTAAAATATCGATAATTCTTCATAATTATCTTCACCACAAAATAGATATCTTAAGAAGGAGAATAGTTAATTAGCTAATAAAAATTGACCTCTGAGAAATAAAGTCCTTATTGTCGTCATTGAGAGTCTCGCAAAATTTCTTTTTATCATGTGCTAGATGTTCGATCAATTTCCTTTACAACAGGAATGTTGCGTAAACCTATGATGCGTTTCCTGTTGCAGCATCTGGAACCACTTGGTCCAAATCACGAAAGATGGTAATAAAACTGTGATTATAACCACACACTACATCGAGGAGGCCCGACAAGCGCACACGGTACGTACGCGCCGAGACTTACATATTTACATAACGCGGTCGTCGATGTATAAATAAAAAATATTCGGGACACAATATCGGCGGATACGCGAGAATACAAATCGCGACGCAATCGGAGCCATTGCCAAACAAAATCGTCCGACGATTACGATAATGATCGCATATTAAACTTGTGCAACTGTGCGGTTTCCTTTCGACGATTCGTACCGATTCATACTTCTGGATAAAAAAAAAAGAAAAGGAAGGACCGATTGATTTTATAGAAATCACGTTCCATTCGCTGAACAGAAAATTTTGTCGTAGCATCGTATCGATGCCGGAAAAAAAAAAATTGTCGTCCTAGAACGTCTTCTGAATGACTGCTTAATTCGAGTTCGTGCATCTGTCCTCATTTAGCTGATTCATTTGGATATTATGCAAATTACAAGTCTGTTTGTTTTGTGACATCCTCTGATTGCTGATTTCACGTTTCTCGGTGTCTTTAAAAAGAACAAAAAAAAAAAAAAAAAAGAATGAAAAATAGCCTCCCATTCCGTTTTCAAACAAACGGATTTATCATCTACCTTGTGATTTATTTATTTGTCAGGGTTCAATTCAATTTGAAATATCTTGTCTTGTTCTTTTCATTTAAAATAAAAGAATTCGAATGAGGTCATTTGTAATGACGATCGCGAGCTCTTAATTACACTTTGTGTGTAACCTTTCTTGACTTTGCCTTGAGAAAAGATCAGAAAAAAAAAAACAAAAAATTGCAATTACATGAAATGAAAATAATTGTACAAGCGTCACGAATGCACATTCTTACACGAAATTTCTATTTTCGAATGTCAAAGTATAAAGTAGTATGAAAATTGAAAAAGAATCAACAAAAATAAATTGTTCTTCGCATTATATAACATACACTCTGTACATTTTATATAAATAAATTTCATCCAAAGTTTCATTTCTCTTCGTAAAAACGATCCAAAGAATTTAACATTAAAACGCTGATCTCGACAAATCGGCTTGGAGATTTATCCATAAAAATTTTTTCGCCGATAGATCGGATTGATGAGGAGCGGCCGTTTACTAGCTGAGGAGTCTCCCAGGGCTCTTCTGACCATGTCCAACTGCAACTCTCTTGAAGAAGCTTTCCTGAAACTGTCGCGGCAGGAGGGTCAGAACATCCAGTCGACAGACTTAAACATCACGAACAACATCAGTCTGGTAAGAAAGTAGAACATCGTATCTAGTTAAAATATTAGTTAAATTATATTTATTATATTATAAATTATATTTATTATAAATATTTATTATAAATTACATTTAAATTATATTTATTTATTATAAATTGTATTTAAATTATATTTATTATAAAATTATATTTAAATTATATTTATTTATTATAAATTATATTTAAATTATATTTATTATATATTATATTTAAATTATATTTATTATAAATATTTATTATAAATTATATTTAAATTATATTTATTATAAATTATATTTATTATACCATCAGAAAAATAATCAGTAATAAATAAAAAAAATATATATATATATATATTTCTTATTTAAAATACGCAGAAATTTCACGGTGAATGCGAAAAACTAATCTTGACCACTGTTCTCGTACAGGCTTCTCTAAACTGGGGCAAGAAGACCGAACCGGTGTACGTGACAGAAGAATCAGGCGTCGTTGGCTTAAACTTCCATCAGAGCAAAGAGGTTCTCATTCATGACTCGACGAACAGCATACCGAGTCACTACGATGTAAGTTCACTGAGAAACTACTTTGTAATAGATAAAAGTCACTGCAACAAAAGTAGAGATAATGGAAGAAATCAGTGAGCTCAATGTTTCTTTTCTTTCTTTTTTTTTTTTTTCTATGGAACAGATGAGCGCAAAATCGTTGTCAAAAATGAAGAATTCGGCGTTCCTTAACGATTGCACCGAGCTCAATCATTGGTACAGCGTGACGAATAGCGGCAAAATGAAAGCGTTGTTGCAGAAAAACTTCCTGCGCATGTGGAGAAATGTAGGGTAAGCTTTCCTCGCGTTAAATAGGATGAAGATGATATATATATAATTCTTCCTGACAGATGAAGGTAATGAAATCGTCTTTCATACACATTCGTACAGGGTAATGCTGTTCATCTTCGCGTTACCAGTGATGCAAGTGGTGCTGTTCTGTCTTGCGATTGGTAGAGATCCAAAAGACTTGAAAATGGCTATAGTCAATCATGAGATGATCTATGGAAACAAATCCTGCCCAGTTTCGGAGGACTGTAACTTTTCTCATCTCAGTTGTCGGTACCTGAAATTTTTAGACGACGACATGATGAAACTGGTAAGATTATTATTTTATTGTTGCACGTATGTGTAACTTTTATTGCTGTGTGTAATACACACGAGAATAACTTTACAGCTTCGATTCACAGTTATCAGAAACGGAGACGTTTGTATGTATTCTAGAAATATTATCGGGATCCTCACTCGGCTAGAAATGCGGTCCGCAACGGAGACGCGTGGGGACTCTTGTATTTTACGGAGAACTTCACGGATGCTCTTGTCGCAAGAATGGCCCTTGGAAGAGAAGCTGACGACGAGACGTTGGAACAGAGCGAGATCAGAGTCTGGCTAGATATGTCCAGTAATTATTTCCAATCTGTTGAAACGCCGCTATTGCTTCCTTAAATTTTCACATGTGTAACTGATACACGACCAACTGATTACTATTACAGATCAACAGATAGGTTTGATCTTAGCCAGGGAGCTTCAATATTCATACAGGGATTTTGCTAAAGACCTGCTGTCATCCTGCGATCAGAACGCAAAGCTAGCTGACGTACCGATTCAGTTCAAGGATCCAATTTACGGCAGGAAACAACCGAAATTCACCGACTTCGTGGCGCCAGGAGTAATTTTAACGTGAGTGAAACTCAGGAGTTTTTGTTTCAAAACGCAATGATTCAACGGATGTTTACATTGAGAAGACGAATGTCCCTCTTGCAGTATTATTTTCTTTCTGGCGGTGGCTCTCACTTCGTCCGTTTTGATCATGGAGAGAATGGAGGGCCTCTTGGATAGAAGTTGGGTGGCCGGCGTTTCACCAGCCGAGATCCTTTTCTCTCATGTGATCACCCAATTCGTGGTGATGTGCGGACAAACTGCACTGGTGCTTATCTTCATGCTTGTCGTGTTCGACGTTGAATGCCAAGGACAAATCGGCTGGGTGATCGTACTGACGATACTTCAGGGTCTCTGCGGCATGTGCTTCGGTGAGTTTTAACACAATGCACAATTAAGTTAAAAAGTTAAATAAAAATAGCTTTGTACACAATGATTAATTAGTTATTTATAGAACGTTTATAGTGAATGAGATTGTGGACAATAATGGTAATTAATTACATTATAGATATAAATTCGATGGGAAAGTGAATCCGTCTGAAGGCATTTTAAAATTGTGTGTTTGACTGTTAAAATTAATACAAACTGTTGAAGCCTGTTCTTACATAATTTGCGTTTCTTATCTTAGGAAATATATTAGTTGACTTTTTATCGAGATAGTTGAAAAAAATTAGGAGATTGTTTGAACGTTCGCCTTTTTGTTCGCAGGGTTTGTAATTTCAGCGATTTGCGAACTCGAAAGGAATGCAATCCAGTTAGCTTTGGGCAGTTTCTATCCTACGCTTCTATTAAGCGGTATGTATGTTATATAAATTGTGAGCGTGCAGCGCAATAAGAACACTTAAAGTAAAAAGATAAGTTAATGATGCAACGAAACGTTTTCTTCGTGGTGCGCGTTACCTTTTACCTTATGTGACTTGTCACAGTGAAAAGCACAACGTGTTTCCGTTGGAAAACGCACGAATTTAGCAACAATCATTCGCATTCTTAATTATGTTCCGCTTAAAGATGCTCGGTCCGCGCGTTTAAGATATTAACATAAGGATGTTACTTTAATACGATTATAGCAAACCTCGAGTAAAAAAAAAAGAACATCAACAATCAACCATGAAATTAACATTTTTATTTTAATTTACTATACTATATCGCAAGTACTTATGCAAGTTCACACATTTATGAAAATGATAAAAAAGTGAAATCTTGATGGAAAATTGTTTTATCTACTAAATATTACAACGAGCAATTCGATTCATCATTATCACTCTGTTTATTCCTGTACCTTCAAAATTTATTTATCGAATTCTAGGTGTAATTTGGCCAATAGAAGGTATGCCGAAATTTCTTCGGTACTTATCTCAGGGTCTTCCACTAACAATGGCCACAACGTCACTACGTGCAATGCTGACACGCGGCTGGTCCATGTCAGAGTCAGATGTTTATTTGGGCTTCATTGCAACCGTCACCTGGATTATTCTATTCCTCACGATAAGCATAGTGGTACTCAGGCTTAAACGCGGATAGAACGTGCTCGTAGCGTTTTTGAAATAATTATTGCCACGTGGAAAGAGAAAAATCAAGATAACGACCGCTGGCTCGACCATCGAACGGTCGACCATCGGTGGAGACTCGAGGGGAGATCGCTTCAGCAGCTTCCTCGAGACGATCTCGTTGCACCCTTTGTACGTGAATCTTCAGATATATGTGATGCTGCTTATGCGCTTAATATCCCTTATGTGTGAATCAAGGAAGAATGATTGTTTATCTGTATATCTGATCCTTAGGAATTTCTTCTCTTTTATCTTCTCTTTTTTTTTTAGTTAAATAATAACTGTAATATAATATAATGCGCATCCCTCATGGCAATGCATTTTAGTACGAACATTAACAAGTATTCATCGTCTCGTTTAAATTCACCTATTAAGAAGAGATATGCTGTACAAATTGCTTGGCGATGAACGAGACGATCTTTACTTAAATGTAGTACGATGCGCCCTTGGTAAATTTGTCCCAAATGTAAATGGGATTGCGAGTAAGTGGTTAAGTTAACGAGTAGCAAATTAGTAGACGTAGAACAGTTACTTGCCCATGACTTAAATGTATGTTTTATTTAATTTGTGAGCTAAAAGAAAAAGATTAGCATGATTAAACGACATGAAAAGCAATGAAGAAACAATGTTTCTGCAAACAAGAAATTTGTTAGTTTCGAAATTATTGAAAAAAAGAAAATATATATATATATATATAATTAGAATAATTAATATGCGCTAGTGTAATATGGTTCTAAGAACACGAAATATGTGTAATGATATTGTAGGATGTAAATTATAGTAATTACATTTTATACGTTATCAGTCTTTCTGATTATTTACGCCTCAGAAAAACGATTGATGCAAAGGATACATGGAAGGTATATTTTAAAGCAAAAAGGACAAAAATACTACATTTCCGTTTCCCGTTCTCTATTTTCTGTATAAAAGTCATTTACAAAAAAATAAAAAATATTTCAACGCCTATCACGCAATTCTCTATTAACAATCCGAACAATTGCATATGTAATCTCTCATTGAGTAGTAAATTAGACTCAATGTAGTCACTTAATCAACGTCAATTTGTATTTTTCTTCCTGGACGAACCACTCCCGGTTCTCCTCAACCGCCCGCTTCCAGTACTCTGAAACACAATTGAAGTGGCATAATTATCACGCACTTACATATTAAATGTAAAAAAAATATTAAATGTACCGCTTAATTCCTTCACTGTTCCATTTATACCGCCATATTCCTTTGGTAATATATTTATTGGCAAAGTTTCATATAATTTCAATTTACCATTTGTATGGATGTGTATTCTTTGTTTCAACTTTGCAACCATGAAGCTTCGGAAAATGTTCAACACCACATTTAAGAATCTGTGAGCGTTAATAAAATCTAGCGAGTAAATTCTAACGGGATAACAGCCCTGCCATGCGTGTACTAAGCTTTTAATAACATTCGGCGGTAATTGGAGAACGTGCTCATATGTAATTCCACTTATGTCCAAGATAGCCGTTATACCGTGAATCGTTACGGACTCGTGGTCTCGTAACGCTAGATCCAGAATCATTAACGATGCCTAAACAAAAAAAAAAGAAAAAGAAAAAAAAAGGAAAGTTAGTCAGTTACTCCAATTTTTATTTTATACAGGATGCGCATTCGAATGGCAATACCTAAATAAATTTTTTTTTTATGTCTCTCATATCTATTGTTCTTTGTAAGACCGTAGAAGAAATATTTAAGCAATCCCTTTCAAATTTCATTTGAGATCCTATCTACGAATTTAGCAAGACTATTAAATACAATTACTCATCTCTTTTGTTTGCAAGTTGTGATTACATCTTCCATTAATTTTGGCTAGTGATTATTTTTGCATACCTTCAACATGTCTGAGATTTTGTGCCTACTGGGAGAATGTACTGCCGCACGTATTATCACAACCATTCTGCCTTCGTCATCTAATTTCTTCAAAGGCAGAAACACCCTGGAAAATCAAACTTAAAAAGAAACTACAATTTCTCTGATATTCTTTGTATAAGAAGAATGTATCCTTTGCATGTTCCTCAATTATATAATGAGAACTACACGTTATGGATTTACATGTAAATATAGTAAAAGAAAGAAGTGACTTTTGAACCATATACATATGTATGTATGAGTATTGCGACACTGTTAACAATTATTTAAAGTGAACATGGTTCACTTACTGAATCGAAACTGAAGCAACAATCAATTGCAAAATGCATGTGACGATTTATCATGCTCAGATAAACTTAGATAAACTATCAGCGTTATACGGAATCTCGTGTCTACGAAAAGATACTAACAATACTAAACTTGATCAGGAATTCTATTAATAACAATATCATTGATCATTATTATCCATTATATTCAATCTTTGAGAGTAACAGACATGATTGCAATATATTAGCTTTCTAAATACCGTTTCGAAACGATAAGAAAATTTTAGACACAAAAATTGTCAATGAAAATACGTAAAACAAAAAAATATTCTTGTAAACATTACCCTAAATCAAACAGCTCTTGTAATACTGGTAGAGATGGATCTCTGTTGCTGTACCATTCCGGAAGATTCGCTCTTTGCTTGTAATAATTCCACAATTTAGATTTCGTTTTCTCTGTGTTAAATTTACAAGCTCTCAGGAAACGAAGAATAAAGAAATCATCTGCAAGAATACATAAAATGAGAACAAGTAGGAACGTGAGTAGGAATGGAAAAAAAAAAAGAAGAAAAAGAAGAAAGAACAATTTAAGCTGAACGTTTGAAATAAATGGCAAATACCAGTAGGAGCACGTAGATCTTCACTCTCCATAATCCATTGTCTTATTTCAGCAATTTTAATTGGTCTGACTTCGTCGGTTTCATTCAAATTAGCCGCCAAGTACGCTCTCTCCTCGACAGATAATTGACAAATGTACTCACTTGACGCCGACATAACGCAGTAGGGTAATTACACTCGATCATTTGTCATTCGCCAGAGACGACACCAAGGATTAATTGATTCTGATCTGATTTTCTTTCTGCGCTTAAGCGAACATCTTCGATGTTAGAAAAGAAACGAAAGATCTATCGCGAACGCGCGATCCACCGACGTCAAACGTCGATCGAGCTCTGAAAGATCTACAGCGCAAGTACGAAACAAATTAGAGACATCTGCCGGGATATTTACGTTATCTGTACATACAATTTGCGATAAGTTTACATACGTACTGAACTTTGATCTATCAACAGAGGACAGGATATACTGTCCTGAACTTTGTGCTATAAACCTAGAAAAAATCGGACGCAATTCATTATTTCCATATATCCCTGTCTTTTCTGTGTGTTGTATTATATTTTGTTTTATTATTTTTTAAATTCTTGCTGCGCCATCGCATAAAATTGCATTGTTAAAATACAGAGGAGGATAAATGGCATAGAACGTAGGAAATGAATACTCAGTAAAAATCGAAAGAAAAACTTGGAAACATAATCAGGAAGCCAGAAAATAAAGTTATGGGAGGTGTTAGTTGGCTGGGACCAAAATGTGAACAGTACGAAATATAAAATAAAAATGAAAAATACAGGGAGAAAAATGTAAGATAGAAAAAGGAAAAGGAGAACGTATAATTAATTCTTTTACAGTATAAATATATTTTGTACAATAATTTTTTGTATAATAAATAATTTTTTGATGTACTGTACTCGATACCAATTTATTTCTACTTTGTATTTAAAGACTTGTAAGTATATCGAAATGGAATTCCTGAAAAAAAGTGGGGCCTTAATTAAACGAATGAAGTCACGAAAGATAATAAATTAAAGCTGTTTTTTTTACAAATGAAAATTTTCTGCATTTATAGACATTGAGATAGTAGCACCACGTAGCGGTAGAGTGGTGAAACTAATCTCTATTACTGTCCCTGTCGCACACTGTTGCTTTTCTTGTTTAGAAACTCAACTGCGCCATCTGTCGAATTAATTTAAAACTATCTAGCAGTCAATAGCAGAATTGAGAGTTGCTCAGATGGCAAAACCACCTGTAGACAAAGAGAACAATAGTGTGGGGCTAGGATATCGATTTTAATTCCACCATTTCACTGCTACGCGATACTACGTCCATGATTTGACTAAATTTTCATTTGCGAAAAGGACTAATTTATGAACTTTTGCAGCTTTATATTCGTTTTTAGATCCCTTAGAGCTTTCTTTCTATATTCCATTTGATCTATAAAATGCATGATTAAATATTTGCAATTTCTCAATAGATCGAAGAACTCTGTTTGTTAGACAAGGAACGCAATATACGACAAAGGACAGATAAATGCCACAGACAAAAGACAAGGAGCGCAATACTGTGCGAAAACGATAATGGATTTTAATTTCACGCGGTGCCCGTGAATTGAATAAATTTTCATTATCACCGCGGAACGAATATATTAATAAAAATGTATAAAAATAAAAACCATTTATTTTTAATGTATTAAATTGATACAAAAATAAAAAAAAAATATATAAATAATTTAATTTCCTTCCATACGTAATGAAATCGCAGAGTACGAATTTTAATTATTTTTCTCTCCTTCGTTTTTTTCGATCACACGTGATTGAACCATAATTTCCATAACAAATATTTGTTTCTTTATTGTAAAAGAAATTATTTGTTTGATTACAAGAGAAATCGTAATGTTTGATTAGCAAAGATCGTAATAATTTTCCATTTAACTGTACCTCTCTGATTGTAAGCAAAAGCTTCTGTAGTTGCTTAAATTTCTTCACTGTTCTTAAATTTAATTCTTTTTTTCTGAAACCATCCGGCGATTCCGCACATGTTTTATTTCGCTTCAAAAACATTTGCACTCTTTTACAATATTCTTTCAAGCAGATCTGCAACTTCGAATATATTGATAACTGAATGTTTACAGAACTTTCATTTACTTTTAACAGCCGTAAAATAAACATTTCCATATTGGCAAGAGTATACTTTCGGTACATAATATTATAAAAATATTGGAATTGTTCTTCGAGAAAAAGATCTTGATCCTCTTCCAGCTCTATTTCCATATATTCCATCTCATTTCCATCTTCTATGCCTGCATCATCATCATCATCATCGTCATCATCGTCATCGTCATCATCATCATCATCATCATCCACGACAATATCACCATCGTACATCTCTCTCAGTTTCTCCATATCCTCCCTTAATCGTATCTTGTACTACATTTAAAAATTATACAAAAATTAATTGTAAATTATTCAAGGATAATTTCATAATTATACTGATATTTACACGTATTCATATTTTTATAATTATAATTAAATGTAGAAATGAAGTAGAGAATTTCTTTATTTGATGAATATAAAAGACACTGTACTTTTATGTTTTAACATTTTTATACATTCTATAGATTTTTGTACTTTTTTTTAATTTATATTTTATAAATGCATAGAAATCTATAATCTATTAATAATATTAATGATATAGTATTAGAAATACTAATTAATAATATTAATGGAATTAAAAACCATTAACAGGAATCATCTTTTTTTCTACGTTTCTAACTTACTCGTGAATAACGATCCAGCAGGGTTAACAATTTTTGGTCGCATGACATTTTTTTCAAATCATCGTAAAATTCCTTCATTATAAATAAGTATCTTTTCCCTTCTTCTAACAATATTTCAAATGATTCCTCCTTTTGCATCAGCATGTAAGTTAAACGTGAAAATTAGTTTTCGACGTAGAAGATTGTACTGCAAGTAGTGAAACACTCTGCACACTTTCATACGATGTATGATACTTATTACCTTTCTGTGTCTCATTCTAAAAAAATCCATACGACAATTCTCGTCAATATCTCTTAGAGTTAGACAATTTTTATCCTAGAATCAAAAGTTTTACAAAACTGAACAAAACACAGATTCCACTGTACGTAAAGCCATTTTGCATAAATTAAAAGTAAATTCACAGCGTCCACAGAACAAGCGACACAACGGTATTTGATATTATAAATCTCCGATTTTCTCGAAATATTTCTACGGAATGGAGAATCCATGTACATACGTATCCCCGTTGGCTGCGGGACAATTAACTGAATTTCTGTTTACAGTTCTGTAATGTGACATTAACAGCCGCGTAAGACAGTTTCGCCAACGGTCCTCAAATATAAAAATCGAACTCGTATTACTGAAATTACTTGAGTCTATTTTCTATCATTTGTAAGTGAATGCCCTTAGCGTAGTAATTTTTCTGTCTTACAAAAAGATAGGATTAATGCAATCACACTTATAATTTTAAAAAAGATTGTAACAATTATAGTATACGATAATATATAGAAATAATTGGCTGATTCAGTTCGAATAGAATAGAATTGAACAGAAAATACGTGAACGATTAATAAAGCATTAAATTGAGCATTAGACTGTGCTCTAACTTATTGATATAATATACATATCAGAAATAAAACCAAAAATCATAAATCAAATCAAAAGCGTGCACAACAAAACAAAAGGAGTTAAGTTGATTTAGAAATAGTTCCTATCAAATCAAATACGTAACGCGTCATAAAAAGTATTAATTAAAAAATTAGCTTTTATACCTTTCTGAATATTGACGAAAATCTAATGATTATTCCAGCTAATGTAATGACTTGAGCGGCGAGAATAATTTTGTTCCCGTCGGTATACTTACACGGTGCAACATTCGTAGTTTGTTAAAATATCAATAGATGGCTTCTCTTACTTTCGCGGTAAGTTGCCATTTGTCTTTTAAATTCAAAATACAATTTTTAGTTACTCAAAGATGCGTTTATTAATTTAGTAAATATTAGTATTATTAGTAATAGTAAATATTAGTACTTATTACTAGAAAGATGATATTTTCGTCAGTTATAAATTAGCACTAGCGCATACTCGTTTATTGTCAAGTCGTGCTTTCTTTGTTCTACCTGTTTCCTGTTAACGCGAAAGAAAATTCAAAAATTCGTAGGGATTCACAAAATTCAAGTTCAACTTAAACAAATTACCTCTGTTTTGCGCAACATTTTTCGTTGAAACTTGTCAAACTTGTCCCGGATTATATCGGAAGATTCTTTCATCAGCAATATTTTCATCAATCTATCGGCATGATGCAATAAAATGGCCTTCCTCTTGCAATACTCTCGAAAACCGTACGCTAACTTCGAACTCATATCAAGGTGTCCATCAGACAGGATGTCAATTTCACGTTGAGTTTGATCCACCTCTTCCTCTAGATTAATTAATAATTTTTGGCAACATGAAATATCTCGCTCGATCGTTCTCTCGATTTCAAATGTAGCTTCTTTTTCCTTCCAACTGTCCACATCCACATCCATTATCTGTCGAGTTTGCTGATGCTTACTAAGTTTATCACGTGCGTTGTCTAAATTTCTCTTTGCCTAACGAATAATTGCGGAACTTTTAATGAAATTGTTCAAACATTCAAAATGAATCGTCGCGTATACCTGGAAATATTTATCGATCTCGTGTGCGAATCTTTGTCGAACAGCGGCAAGGGTCACTTCATTTTTGTCGAACTTTCTCTTAATTTTCGCATATTCTGTCTCTTCTTTTAAGAAAGCGTCGAACAAACGTCGAATCTTTTTTTTCAATACGTGTAAATTAGTGACGCGCGAAGATGGTCAAGAATAAAGTATATGTAGTAAAGTCAGGGCAAAGGGCCCTAAGCTTTGAAGAGGGGGTAAGGGAGAGTATAGGCCGGACCCTAGTAAAGGAATGTCTAAAGGGAAAGGAGGATGAAAGACTGAACACAAAGAGCATGGGAGAAAGGGAAAAATATCTAATAAGAAATGGGCTGAGTAAACTCGGATTCGAACAGGAAAGAAGGAAAGGTAGAAGCGGCAAAGAAATAATAGAGAACCTGAGAAGGAGAGACATGGAAAGACAGGGTCGAGTGCAGCACAACAAAATACAAAAATCAAGGTACAATGAAAGATACAAACACATCCAGACAATAGGACTACCAGAATATCTAAAGAAACCAGGAAACGGAGAAAATTAGCAGCTAATGGCCCAAACTAGATGCGGATGCAAGGAAAGATGGAACCGATACTGGGAGGCCGAAGAGAAAAGGAAGTGCGAGCTCTGTGAGAATGCCCCAGGAACACCTGGTGAGAGACTGTAGGGTGACAAGCAGAGAGGTAAATCTAGAGAACATCTTGAGAGGCAAAAGGAACGAAAAGACGGAAAGATGGCTAGAAGAAATCAAACGGGAAAAAGAAGCAAGGTCAAGGAAGAGAACTAAAAAATAGAAAGTGAGAAAACAACCAAAGGCGGGTAAAGGCAATACGCGGTACATTCGTAGGGTAAACAATTAGAGCAATAAAGTAGAAAATAAAAGGGCAATCTAGGATAAGCGAAAGAGAAGTTAGACAATACAATCGAGATTAAATTGTGAAGTATAACATAAAAGTATAGTGTAGGTTATATTGGATGACCAACCCGGACAATATTAAATGTAGGCAAATACTGACAAGCTAGCGACAGTTCACATAAAAGTGGACTGTGAATAGTTAATCATAAGGGCAAGATCCAATAATTGGTCATCTATGATCCTTCCCCTTCCACTTGACGACGATAACCCAATATATATAAGGACATACTTTATAATGTTTTCATTCTCTCTCTTAAAACATTCGCTCTCTTAAAACATTCTAAATTATAGAGACATTCTATATCGTTAAGAGCATTAGACATTCATCATATTCTAAGACATTCTAAATCATTGTATATCATTCTATTTCATACACGACCACGACTGTAAGGGAATAAATAAACTCTTCTAAATTGTAAGCGTGTTGACTCCATTACACGGAATCCAACAGTTAGTGTTAAATTGTTAAGTATGGCACAAAAGTATAGGGTAAGTAGAGTATATAACAGATATGAAGAACGAAGAGCGAGAGTGAGAGAAACAGAGAGAATGAAAAAAAAAGAGAAATGTAAACCAAGTCCACTTTCATGGCTGTAAAGCCGAAAAAAGTAAAATTATCTATCTATCTATATAGTAAAGTCTAACCACTAGCATATTTTCGTCGTCAATTTTCAGAATATGTTTAGGCGACAAATGTTTCAATTTCAGAGCTTTCTCTTCATCTGCGTATGGGCCTAAGGTCACGCCTATCGCTGTCCAATGTAAAATTTTATTTCTTATTGGATGTTCAATAAAATTACATTGTTGAATAAAGTAATGATCGACTTGTTACTGTACCAGATTTGTCTAAACTGCCAATTCCTTTCTTTTTTGCGTCTTCTTCATCCGACCAACTCCTAATTTGTTTCCGTTCATTGATTTGTTCATCAGCAAGCAATTCAGTTTCCTATAAATGTTTCAACATGCAATAAAAGATATATGCAATAGATTCTTATATATTTATAGAAAATATACGAATCTGCATAAACGTTCGCAAATCTATCAAAGATCGAACCTTAGGTAGTGTTTCCGCTGCACCTACTTCCGACACACTTCTCACTAAAGTTTCATACGTCTCTTTCAACTTTTCGACTTCAACTTCCTTGGCGCTTAATCTAATGATTCAATCATTTAGAAACTGAAGCGAAGATTATCCAACAGATAACAGAGATCGTGCAACCTGTTATATAGATCCTTGATAATCTTTAGTAATACTTGGGCCTGGGACACGCTGAACAGCGTAAAGTCGGAGATCTTGTCGTTCAAAAATTGAAGGATATTCCGATTAATTTGCTCCATTCGGGCCTTCGAGATATTCATGAGCGCTTCTTGCCGCAGAAACATGTCGTTCAACGTCAGTTCTTTTTTCAAAGCGTTAACTTCTTCCTGCAGCCTGTGCAGTATCAAATCTGATCGATATCTAACATCTTTTTTTATCCTGACCGGTTTCAACCTTGCAATCTTTGCGGTGAACCTTAAAGTCGACAACGTGATATCGAGATCTTCTCTTGTAATTCGAATGTGAGATATGAATCTGGTACATGGTTACATTACGAGTCACTGATAATAAATAACTTTCCAAGTTAAATGTTATTATCACATTCTTGGATCAATTACCGGATTACAGAAGAAACCAAGGTAGTGTCTCCTAAAATTTTCAATAAATTACTGGAGCGTATTACATTAACGACGGATGACCTCGAACGTCCTACGTATGAAAAGAATTGCTCAAGCTGTATCTTCATTAAATTCGCCACACCTATGTCCGTGGCCGTTTTCCAACAACAACAATTCCTTCCTACGGTCCCTATACCAGCTGCTTCCACAATGTGTATCTAACATTTCAATGAAATTTCTAATTAGCCCTCGAGAGCCATCGTTCGTTTTTCACGATTTACGATTCTCAATGTCACGCTGTAGAAATTCGTAGATACGTATCTCAAAAGCCGAGTAATTACTTTCGCTGTGGTTACAGTGCCCCAGGATGTAACTAGGCTCGTGTTAGTCACGTGAAAGGTAATCACAGACGTGGCTAAATGAGACGCCGGATAAGCCGAGTTTCTCGCAATCGATCTTCTAACTTCTCCTTTAAAAAGATTCCTCAAACCTTCTTTTTCACTATTCATGCATACCACGGAGATGTCCTAGAATTTTCCTCACTCACTGACAATTCTATCAAACGTTTTTCCGTTGCAAAGTTTTCGCAAAACTATTTTATGTAACACCTTGAACGGTTCTCGCTCGTTTATCTTGACTTTATTGTTATCCACGTCAGAGGCCAGTAAATCCCTCGCTTCCTTCCCGTACAACTCGACGAAGCTTGTATGGTACTCTATCTTGCTGACTTTTCTTCTGTTTGCCTTCTCAGCAAACATGCAGGACAAAAGTCGGGCGACCAGGCCTCTGTGCTGAGAAAAACGAAATGTCATCACTGTGTTTGCAATTGCTGGGCTCATAACAAAAACCATCCACGTTAATGTTTCTTCTTTTCTAGGAACATTCCAACATCTAGTCTTTATTTGACGATAAGATGTATAGATGTTATTTTTCATAACATCGATCGATACTGTTGAAAAGTTGGACTGTTTTTGTTACAACCCCCCTCGATTGTAAAATTGTAAAAGTATAAAATGTTCGATGTAACCGTACTTCCCAGTTATTTCTAAGGCCACTGATGGTAAAACTCTTTCCAGAACCTGTTTGTCCGTAACTCATTAAAACGCAGCTCACACCATCTAAAATTCTTAAATTGTGGTTTTTCAACAATACTAGGCCACACTTTTTGTTTATAGTTCATACCGTTTGAGACTTCTATTTTTTTTTCTTTTTTGAGAAATTATTAATTCAATCTATACCAGAAGTCTCGAACAGCATTAACCAGAAGAAAATACAGTAGCTCACGAAAGTACGTGAACTCTTGTAAAAATTATACCATGAATGGTATCATGTATATTATATAAAAAAAATTAACAAAAACGCACTATTTAACTTTGATAAATATTATGCCATCGTATTCCACATAATGTCAATGAGATACCAAAAAATTATATATAATACTTATAAACATGTTCGTACGATAGATGTTCAAATATTTCCTTAAATGTACGCATCTTTACTTTGACACGAGATCGTCGGTTGTAACGCGATAAATCTCTTCCTGTGAAGAGTCACAAAAAATTCCATCTGTTCGAAAGCACCAGTACGATGGTTTCTTTGGAACGGCTATTCTATTCGATTGTATTTCTTGTAGACGTCGTACGTAGATCTTCTGCGTCAAATTAAAACGAAATTGTTCCTTTGCAACATCCAATTATCGAGGAGAATTTTGTCATATCGGACGAAAGAGAAATATTATTATACCTTGTGTTTCATGTCAACTCTTGCGCAAGAATCACACGGTCTTTCGAGTGGAAACATTCTGATGAAAATCTTTATATTTTTCTCATTGATACTCTTGTCATCGTTATCCGTCATGCTTAAGAGCAGAACCTATTAATTCAAACTTATTATGTTCAGATTATTTTGTTGATCGTGAGAAGTTGTGAGAGATTAAAGGGATTCTTTCTGGACAGTCATTTTTTCGAGGAGGGGATTCCTACTCCTTTTTTGGTTGGCGCAACATTTCGTAGGGTTGAATTGTGTAACCCCAACGAATGGAAATAATCTATGACATATTGATGATGGATATTTTACGAGAAAAAAAAAAAACGATGTGTGGCACATACGTGTGTAACTTCAGTTTTGTAGGTTTTCAAGAGCAATAATTTGTATGTATAATATATAGAATTATATTGAAAATACAAAAAACTTGCATTTCTAATTCCTACTTACATCAAATACGCACTATTCTTGTAATATACAGCATCTTACAGTTAATACATAGTTAATATATATATATATATATTATTTATATATATATATATTTATATATTTATATTCTGTCAAAAACGCGATAAATCTCAGAAAATCGTCAACGTGATGCAATCAATATCGAGTCTTTTATTTCGTAATATGTAGTTCAATACAAATCACACATTGTGCTATCGAGCAAAGCGACTCGTACATTATAATTCTACGAAAAAAGAAATTGTAACTCGTTTTTCAATACATGAAAATTATAAATTAACAATTTCATTGCAAATAGTCAAATTGATTCCAAGATCTTGAAACATGAGAATTATAGATGAGTTCTTCGATTACAAACAAGATCCATTGAATTGTATAATGTTGGACTTTACCTTACTTTCATATTTCCTTTTGAATCATTTTTACTGTTTTGCTTATAAAGAATCTATACACTGTTAAATATAAAATGGTTTATGCTGTTAAAATTACTGTCAAGCGTCCAAAACATATATTACAAATACATAAGAAATATTATTCAACAATTTGCTCAAATTATGAATTCTGCATTTGATTGATAATTAAAATCGAATAATTAAAATCTAGAATTATGCTGGATTATACTTTTTTTTTATGCAATTTGTAGAGTCGTAATTTTACAAAATCAAATGTATACAAATGGAACGAAAATTATCAATTTTTATCACTTATTTCAACGATCGTGTCATACGTTAAAAACCTACCAATCGTCGCTTAGAATTCTATAAAACGATGAAATTCCATTAATAAATGTAACGTTTGACTTTTCTATCACATTGCGCTTTGAAATAACTCGTACAGAGTTTTGGATTCATACCAACAGTAAACATACAAATTTCAATATAACAGCAGAATATTCGCAATTTAAATGGAGATGTAACTTTTTTTTTATCATATCATCAATTGTTGTCTCGCACTGTAAAATCTTTTCTCTCTTCTCTTTCTTTTATACATTTACCTTTGCAATTGTTTTCATACGTAAAACGGTATATCTCCCTTTACGTAAACATTCTTTTTCATGTTTCTCAAACCTTTATTCCTTGCTCAATTAACGAGTAATAATAACTGTTATCGATAAATACTACCCAAGCTATACCTATAGACTATCGCTGATAGAAACGCATTAGAAATGGTATAAAATGGACATGTCTTACTTCCTCAACAACACTAAATATATAAATCATATTGTATTTTTTTTCTTTTTTTTTTTTCCTTCGTGTTTTTTTTTCGTTTTTTTAAAAAGCAATTTTTTTGTTTTTTTTTTGTTTTTTTTTTATTTAAGCATACACTCGCATATGACTTACACAATAATACGGCGTTTTAATAAGTGTACCGTTAAGTTTCTTTCGGGCAGGGAAGAATAGAATAAAAAGTGCTAATATTAAATTGTGATAATCGAAATAATATGTTGTGTGTTTCGTTAGGCTTAATCGACCCATTTTTATTTTTTTTTTTTTTTTTTTTTATTTTTCTTGGCTTTTCAGTCTTTCTAGCGGCTCGACAATCCATAACTCGGTTTTCTCGGAAACTCTAGCGCAGCAATCCTCATTTTTGCGTACCTGGCCATTATTTTTCTTCACTCGATGGTTACGCTGGACGTTATCGATCCTCGCCTGGACAACCAGACCCTAAAACGTCGTTTCGAATGCGTTTTGTCGTTATTCTTGCTTTGAAGAAAAAGGTTTAGCTATATATTTAGTTTCTCTTACCCCAGGCCAGCTCCAACCAAGACAGAGAGAATGTTCGTGATAAAAAGAGTATAAAGGACCTCTTTCGAGAATAGCCCAATCTTGCCCACTTTCGTCGTACGAATGCTATAAGATTTTCTTTTGTTCAAACCCTGAGGATGCTTGAACCTCCAGTCTCTGAAGCAGAGAGGAAGAAACAATAAGCAACCTGCTACACGATTGGATATCCTATTTGGTTTGTCATTCAAGTATTAACCCTTTACACCCGGGCAATTGTTATATCATACTAGAAGGTGAATTCATTCAGTGAGTTTTAGTAACCGATTTCACGAACTGCTGCTTCGCATATATTATTATTCTTGCAACAAGTTGAAATCAGAAAATTATGAAAATAAAGGAATAAATGATTTCCCAGTATTAGATTAAGATTAAAAGTATTTTCTTACTTCGGGGGCATTTGATCTGGACGCGAGCTCCACTCGTAAATCCAATCGGTGTTCTTTTCCAACAGCTCGGTTTCCTGTGCAGAAAAACAGACGAATGACATGAAAAAAATATCTGCTAAATCTCTCTTTACGACTGAGGAAGACGAACGAGCTTTGTGTCTGTCTTGACTACGAGCTGTATCTCTCTAATAGTCTCTAATAATCCGATTTAGAAGCGTTTGAAACGGTACATATGTATTCTGTATCGTCCAGTGAAACTGAAGATACTCGCGAGTTCTACGTTGACTGTCAATTGAAGTCGCGGATCAAGTTTACTAGGCGACACGTTTTTACACGGACAATATAAAGCCAGTTAGGCTAGTTTTCCGCTACGAGGTTCGTCTAACACGCCGTGAACAATGTAAAAAACCTTATCACGCGACGAGAACTTGATCGCCGTCGTAAATGAATCACGCTTTCCTTGCATAATCAGATCCAATACTCGTGCTTCTAAATTGCTACGAATCATTATCAAGATGTAAAATCGAAGTACACTTAATATAAAACGATTGTCAATGATAATATTTATCATCGATGATTTTTATTCGAAAGATGTCGATTATCCAGGAATCACGATAGAATCATCATTTTGCGGACAAAGTATTCATCATCTGTATTAGAATAGAACAGTCTATCATACATTTATATTTCCTGAATATCCTTCGTGTGATTTATTATTAGTGATTCATTGCTAGTATTAATTTGGCAGAAACACAGGCAAAGATGATTTCGAAAACAATAAAATGCACAATTTGTTAATATTTATCTATCGCTCGATAAATTAATATTAATCTAATGTTTGACCTACACTATCTGCATTCTCTAATAACTAATTAATTAATGCGATATTAAATATTAAATATATTAATAATTAATTAATTAATGCGATATTAAAAATCAATTTAAAGAAACAAAAAAAATGTTGATATCGTTCTATTTGTGAAAATCGAGTACTTGAAACAATTTTCCTCCAATTATATACCGATAAATAAAGTTGTAAAAATTGAAAGTGAAAAAAATTGAAAAAAAAAATAGAAAAAAATAGGTTTGAAAAAGAAGAAATACTTATTTTACGTCTATATGTAAGTGCTACTTACGCACCTCTTATCAGTAAACGACTTGAAGAATAGCCAAGGATAACTCGACTGGCAATCAGCCAATCATACTACGAGCGATTGTTGTATCAGTATATATTATGATGACATGTAATGGATATCAACGTGGCGTGCGTTTGTTTGTAAACAATGCGGTTATTAAAAAGAAAAGTTATCTGTACATTCATTTCAATGAATCATTAGCAATAAATTGAACAAAACAATTGAATCACATTTTATTCAGTGTATCAACAATTTACTTTCACTATTGACAATATCGCTTATTTACAATATCTGATAAATATCATTTATGAATGTTACAAATTCTTTTACTTGCAGAAGCTGCACGAGCGTGACAAATATTTACGTGCTAACAGAGTGACAAAGGCGAAAGAAATAAATCAAATAAGGCAAGGTTTGCAATACACGTACAGCATGTTGATACGATAATTCAAATACGTAATTCGTACGCGAGTGTCGGCGCGTAGCTTCCGGAATTCAGAGCTCATCCGGTAGCTGTTTGCAAAGCGTCAGACAAATATTGGACAATTCACCAAAAATGAAGTGAATTTTACCAATGAAATGTGAACGATAATGTCTTTTCACGCATAGTTGTATTTTATGACTGCGATCAAAGAAGTGAAACCTCTAGATAATAATTTGCTTTGTCTACTGGATGTTACTGAAAGTAAACTCTACTTCGAGTACTTTGTAAATTTTTTGAAATGTTCTATGCATCGTACGCGTTTTTCACACTTTTAAATTCCTCGCAAATGCATAAAAGTCCGCCGTCTACTTTGTCACAGCGCTAACAAAACATCAAACGCGTGATATATTCATAAGAATGTGATATATTCTACAAATATCCAAATACATTTGCGAGTCGCGCCACGTACGAAATTATTAAAACGTGAAGCAACAACGAATAACCGGGTACTTATTTTTATGTTACGGTTTATCCAAATCTTCTGCCAACGAATTTACCGTTCTGCGTTCTACTTCTCGAAATAATGTGAAAATGATGCGTCATAGATTTCGGCTGCGAGCTGCGCTATCTAAATTTACGCTCCATTGTCTAGCCATGTTTCAAAGACTTGAATCATCGTGAACGGTCCAACAGAAAAATCTAAACGCATTTAAAATCACTTTTAGGACGCAGAACTATTTGTAGAATCGTCGCATGGATCGTTTTATTGCTCCAAAAAAAAAAAAAAAAAAGAAGAAGAAGAGACACAGCTTGCTTCGTAAAACGTAGAATACTGTGAACTTCCCGGTCCAAATTTGGTAAATGTACGCGACGTACTGTGCGCTATTCTAGAAATAAAGAAACACGAGCATTACCACTCGCCGGTTCAACGGACTTTGAATAAACATTGCAACGTGCAAGCCAACCAAGGATTTATGTGTATCGCTAACTAGGCTACGACTCACGAGGAACAAACCTTAAAAGGATTTTCATCGAGAAATCATCGCGCAAGCAATCGCAGCAACGATCGATCTTCCCACGCATGATCCGAGCTAAATTGGCGGATCAAACTTATAACAATAGTTCAGAATAATAATTGAAAGACCTAATTCTCATAGCAGACAAAAGTTAAACAGATGAGGTAACAGTAGAGTGATGTTGATCAAATATTTATACGAATAATATCGTATGAAAAATTAATCGAAGGAAATTCCGATTTGCTTTAAAAATCTCTAATTGGCAGCAGAGGAGTGTTAGTCAAACACATTTATGAACAGTATCGTATGAAAAATTAATCGAAGGAAATTTCGATTTAAAATATCTCTAAGTAACTGGCATCCCACGTTGTTGTTTAGAGGAATACGAGCTCTTTGGTATTCAGGCCATTCATAAAGAAACGGCAACGAAAGATCCTTGAGCGTCGCTTCTCCGATTTCGTATTTGCATACACATGCTTAATCGTCTACATAAGATTAACAACACTAATAAATTGCGAATGTGAATCAAGCGAAAACTCCGTTTCATTATCTCGGTGGTTATATAGAATCTTTAACACGTTGCCAATTTACGAACGTAAATTAATACATAATAAATTAATACACTCGATCTTCTTGCCTTAACACATTGAAGCTATAGCTATAGGGGATTATTGACGACTAACACGAGACTTGTTAGTGACGTTTATATGGAGTAACCGGTGACTGGCTACGCTAGAGTTGATTAAAGTATTTAGACCAAAGAAGCAGTTACCTGCAATAATTTTAATATTACGACAACAATGTAAGATACTAAATAACAATCGACGTGTATGACCATTTAGACACTGCTGTAAGTAATTAATTCCTCCAATTACTTTTGCTCCAGTCGAAAAAAGGAGAAAGAAATTCTTTTACAAACGAAGACACGCACGCAGTGATATTCAACTGTAATCAAATGTCGTTGAACGAAGATAAAGTCAAGATAAAATTCGAGTTATTACGCGTTAGAATCCGACATCAAGAGGTAGATACAAGATTAAGACGCGAAAAAATGATCGACACTAACTAACGTAAGATATCATGGAAGAGAAGTAGACCATGTTTTGCCCTCGACGATTGACGATCGTAAGGCATTAGCCAAGTTTGATAAATCCACTCGATATTACCTATTAAAGTTGTCTGAGAACAGTCTCGACTGTTCAGAACACTAACGCAGCTTGGTTAAAAAACCAAGCTTTATCTCGCTCTTTTCCAGTCTCAATTGCCCGCAAGTTTCTTTCTCGCACCCCTTGCTTCTCTTTCGCAAACGTAATAACCAGGAATTACGTCCACTGCCGGCATGTTTCGGGCTCATTCAGCGAGGAAACCCCTGGCTAGCAACGGCATTTCACTGTATATAGCTTAGAGCTATATACGCCCGAGAGGGTCAATGACGAGCTGCACTTTCTGCATATAGCACCATTATTCTATTCTGTGTCTCGAGGCTCCATGCAATTTCAGAGTCTAACAATAAGAACGAGCCAACTTTTTCTTTCCATTTAAATTTAACAGGACAAACAGCGATAAAATAAAGTTCAGTCTTTACGAACATCTTCACACACGTTTTGAGAAACTTTATCAATTTTTATCAGCATTGTTATCGTTGTTTGCTGTTGGTAAAACTTGGAGCCAAGCTGAAAATAACATACAGAATTTACAAATTATTTATTATATCCGACGTATCTAATTGTTTATGACAATATATATTTTTAGAACAAAAAGAAGTATTTTTAGTACTCCTCCTTTGTTTGTCGATAACACAAGAGACAGCAGAAGTGATTTGCATTCGTGATCGATGCGTTGCCGGACACGTGACAAGTATCACATAGGTAACAGGCACCGTGCACGATCGCGTATGATGGTATACGTGACCATTGGCACGATACTTCTTCCCTCTCCTAAATTGTCTTTTTTACGATTGATGCTTCTTTTCTGCTGACTAATCCACATCTATATCGCAATCTGAATTCTGGATTGATCTTCTACGACTCTCCATTACGTTTTTAGGTCCCTAGACTATGAGACTATAAGATAAATTGATCTTGAGAGAGAACTATGTTTTTGTAACATATGTACGAAGGCCTCCTCTATATATAGCTTGTCATCTGTATTTTTTGTACGATCTTTTTCGTATAACACATTTCCCACAACGTATCTCTGGTTTTAACCACTGGCAACCGATTGCGGACCATAACGAGCGACCAAACCGTAACACAATAATTCGTCGCTTTCTTTTTGAATTCGTCGGTATGATATCACTGGATAGAAATGAATGAGAAGTAATAAATTTATTGTTTGTTTTGCCTGGATTATACTTAAATATACTTATATTGTGGACGGGAGACGCGAATTCAACTGTTGCGGAACGCTTTTTTGTGTTGTAGGGGACACGACCCAGGCAACGTTATATATAATTTATATATTGTATAATATTACATATAATATATATAATTGTATAT